GACCCGCTCTGCCTCTGAGCAACAGCCGCTCAGAGGCAATTTGACTTTTGTAAATGGTACTCAGCACTTCCTTTATTTAGATGTTTTACATTGAAAGCATTCCAGTAGCTCAAAGAGAATCCCTCCCTGGTAGGCTTTTAATTTGAAACACGTACAGGAAGTATAGAGTTTCTATGGTGGTCAGTTAATGACAGCTACAAAAAAGTAGAAAAGATAATTGAAAATAATTAGTAAATAAAAACATTTTTGTTTGTAGATCGCAAATGCAGACAATGCAGATTTCACATACAGCACCCTTACCAGCCTGGTGTAGGTTTAGTGAAATGAATGATGCAGTTCTGCTACCTGTTTGGTCATCATATCCACACTACTAATGATTCATTTTCAAATGTCTTTTCAGCCTAAACCTGCCCCTCCTCCACAAGCAGCCCCTCAGCCAACTCCCCAGCCAACTGCAACTCCAGCACCAGCCTCAGCCTCAGCCTCAGACCCAGCACCAGCCTCTGGCCCAACACTAGTGCCCTCCACACCCACACACACAGCATCTGCACCTACACCTGCCCCGCAGTCAGTGCCTCCGTCTGAATCTCTGCCCCCAGCAGCAGAAAACACCACGCCTGCTTCTGCTGAAGCAGCAGTAGCCCCGGACTTAAACACTGCTTCGGCCTCAGATGCCACTCTAGCCTCTGCCCCAGTTCCGAAAGTTGATAAGACAGCTCTTACCTCGGGCCCTGCAGACCACCCCTCCCCTGCTGCCCAGCCAGAAGAGAAGCCAAGGAAAGACCCTGAGAATGAACCGTCTGCCCCTGCAACAGTCCACTCCTCTGCCTCCAGGTTGGAGGAAACCTGTCTTTATACATACACTGAGAGTTTTCATTCTCTGGTTGTCCAAGAAACTTGTTAATAATTTCATAACCTGGGTTAGCTAGGTCAGCTTATATTGTGATAATGGGGACCATGGTTTAGATGGTTAATTTTTTATTGCATAAAAATACTTTACTGCTGCTTCTACTCTTTTCCTCGACTTTTCTCCTTTTCCACTCATGTTTTTTGTCACCTACAGAGAATGAGGATTATTGTCTGTCTTTAACAGAGCAGTATTTAGCAGTGAAAATCTTTTTCTTTTTTTTTTCCAATTTAAGAATGCTGCTGTAGCCGGATCATAAAACCCAGATGAGACTTTAACAATAAGACTTTTGCCAAGGTCCTGTTAGCAAGAAATATTAGTTGCTAGTGGCATGGCAGTAGGGATGGCAATGTTATTATTGCAATATGTGTGTATATATATAATGCTCACTGTAATTGTTTGGGATTTGCATTGTTGATTTGAGTTTTTCTTTGCTCATTTCTCTCAAAGCCTCGTTGATGAACTGGGTCTCCTTGAAGAAGCAGCATCAATACTGGGTAATACCTTGTGTTTTTTCTCCCCTCTGTCATAAATATAAAACACCAATGCACTAGTTATACAAAAACTGCACCCCTTGTTTTCAGTATGATAACAGCCATACCAGACCACACATACATTGTAGACTGACTGCTGGAATTAGCACAACTTACTCTGTCCAGTGACAGAAGTTTAGATAAAAGCCTCAGTATGTTCAACCAGTCGCTGTCGCAGCCTTCTCTTCCTCAGTGCATCCCACTGACTCCCTGATCTCTTCCCAACAACTGTCTTGTTTGTCTCAAAGTCTTTAGTCTCAAATTGATGAATTGTCCAAAAGGGTTTAGTGGAGCACACTAAAACTGTCTGTTGGTGGTATTTTACTTAAATTTGGGTCCTATAGGGGTCTATAGCAGAAGAAGAAGATATACTTTGTTAATCCACAATGGGGAAATTCTTTTCACTCTTTGTTTTACACACACACGCACACACACACACACGAAGAGTTGCACTAAAGCCTGAAATGCAATCATGCACATGCAGGGCTTATGAACATAAATCAAATTTGGAGAGATGGTGGAGTGATGGGCTGCCACGTAGGGGTGCTCCGCAAGCAATTAGGGGTTTGGTGCTCTGTCTTGTATTGTCAAGAAAAATGTTCTACAAAGTGACTGGTGATCTTATAAATAAATAAAACAATAGCTTATTTGAGGAATTTGAGTCAGGATTTAGAGTTCAT